CTACTACTACGACTACTACTACTACTACTACTCCTACTACTACTACGACTACTACTACTACAACTACTAATACGACTACTACAACTACGACTACGACTGCGACTACCACTACGAGTACGACGACGACGACGACGACGACGACGACGACGACGACGACGACGACGACGACGACGACGACTACTACTACTACTACTACCACTACTACCACTTTTACCACTACTAGTACTACTACGACTACTACTACTGCTACTACTACCACCACCACTACTACTACTACTACTACTACTACTACTACTACTACTACTACTACCACTACCACTACCACTACCACTACCACTACCACTACACTACTACCACTACCACTACCACTACCACTACCTACCTACTACCTACCGACCTACCTACTACCTACGACTACGACGACTACTACTACTACTACTACTACTACTACTACTACTACTACTACTACTACTACTACTACTACTACTACTACTACTATACTACTACTACTACTACTACTACTACTACTACTACTACTACACTACTACTACTACTAGTCTACTACCACTACCAGTACCCCTGGCCCTCTTCCTCCCCTCCCCTCCCCCTCTCTCCTCCTCCTCCTCCTCCCTCCTCTCCTTCTCCTCTTCCTCCTCTTCTCCTCCTCCTCCTCCTCCTCTCTCCTCTCCTCCTCCTCTTCCTCCTCCTCCTCCTCCTCCTCTTTCCTCCTCCTCCTCTCCCTCCTCTCCCTCCTCTCCTCCTCGCTCCTCCGAGGTCGCGCCGGGGATCACGACGACCCCCTGGTCCAGCGCCCACCGCAGGAGCACCTGTGCGCGCGGGGCCAGGGCGGCCCGAGCCGCTCGGGAGGGCTGCGGCGGGGGGCGAGCAGCCTCGGTCGGAGGCCTTCTTCGAGGGCCCTCGGAGGCGCGGAGGACCTCGTGCCCCCCTGGCGCCCCCCTCGTTCCGCATCGCTCCCTTCCTCCTCCTGTGCGCTCCTCCTCCTCCTCCTCCTCCTCCTCCTCCTCCTCGTCCCGCCCCCCCTTGAGATCCGACGTTGCGAGCACATGGCGAAAGCAAGACTGGAGCCCTGGGGCCCATCTTCCCGCGGCATGTGTTGAGCCGGCTCGATCCGTGTTGGTGCCGAGGCCCGCAACCTGGCGGCAACGACTGGTGCGGAAAAATCGCACCGCCCGGAACTCCAGGCCCCCCTGCCTCGCCGCCTTCTCTTCCCCCCCCTTTGTCTGCTCATGCTCATGCTGCACGCAGCAGATTTCCAAAGGCCCAAAGAACAGCATAAACATAAATTTTCGGAGCCCAGCGCGGATTTCTTGGGCGCTGAACCCACTCCGTGGCGCGCGGAACGCGCCGGGGGCGGCGCCGGAGGCGCCGCCAGGGAGCTCCAGCGCTGATCCGAGAAATCAAGGCGGAGCCACGAAAGTTCATGTTTACGAAGATTCTTCTTCGAATTACGCAACCCTCCCCCTTTCTGCTCATGCTGCGCTCCGCACAGTTTCCCAAAGCTATCCGTGCCCCCCCCCCTCCCGGGCATGAGGCCTGCGGGGCAGTCGCCGCGTGCCTCGACGCGACCTCCGCCACCGCCGCCTTCTGCCCGGGCCCCTTGGCGCCCTTCAGCGAGTAGAAGGCGGTGACCAGGATGCCTGCCAGCCCAGACCCTGAGATCCTGAAGTCGCAATTTTGCCATCTTGGGAATGTCTGCCCAGCTTCGGGCCACAGCCAAGACCATCCCGGATCGATCTGGCTTGAAAAATGTAGCAGGAAGATTGTGTCTAGGGCTCTGGTCGCGATTTTTCGGGATGTTTCAATTTTGCGCAACGACTGGATCTCAGTAAAGGGCCGAAATCTATACACCGACGCATTTTCTGGCCCCGCACTAACATTCGCACAAGATATCGGATCCTGGTGTATACGGGATCCTGATGTATACATGTTCCATTGTTGCCCCAGGGATACGGGGAAACAAGTATGCAGCACACCACCCTGACGTCGTCCCCGACCCTCCCAAAGTCCTGGGATTGTTTTCTGTTGCTGGTAATGTATGTGCTCCTGCTTCCGAAAATATTTCAATGTTGCGCGACGACTACTGGATCCCCAGACCCCCGACGTCATGATTTTTTCATGACGCGACCCCCGGAGGTCCCGACCCATTCCCCGGGACCGGTTTTCCGTCCTGAGCCGTTTTCTGACGGTCCCGAGGCCCGCCGAGGGCCCCCGGAGGCCGAAAATGGCGAAAACCCCCCCGTCGTGATTTTTTCACGACGCGAGGAGGTCTGGGTCTCAGGGAGCCCAAAAACTCACGAACGGCGAAACATATCCGTGTCCATGCCCCCGCGGCTTGGATTCCGGGGCACGACCCCGTGGGGGGGGCACGGCAGCATATGGATGCGTCTAGCGTGGGGCGTCCACGAGAAAACGACACATATCCATGGGGTTGCGGCCTAAGGGCCTGACCCGCGAGGCCGTGGATATGGATATGTTTCTCGCCCACGGAGAACCTCCTCCTCCACCTCCTTTTCCTGCTCTTTCTCCTCCTCCTCCTCCTCCTCCTCCTCCTCCTCCTCCTCCTCCTCCTCCTCCTCCTGCCCCTCTCACCCTGTTCCTCTCCTTCGGGAAATCGGCTCGCCAAGCTCGCGCGGTCCTGCAAGCATCTCGCGAATCCTCACTCCAGCGGGAAGCGGACGCAACTCGGCATAGGCCTCCAACCGTACCGCGGAGTTTTTCCCCAGACAGCTTGCTGAACGGGGTGCTGTTGTGATAGAAGCTAACTCCGGCCGAGGGAATTCAAAGCAGACACGTCCTCAAAAAAATGTGGTGGTCCGGGCCGTTTCGCCTGAGACATCCTCGCAACTCTCGTTTCTGAGTTGTCCGGGATTGGGCGTTTCGCGTGAGACATCCTCCAAACTCTGAGTTCCCAGATGCCGCGCAAGAGGTGGTCCGGCCCGTTTCGCCTGAGACATCCTCCAAACTCTGAGCTCCCAGATGCCGCGCGAGAGGTGGTCCGGCCCGTTTCGCCGGAGACATCCTCGAAACTCTGAGCTCTGAGATGCCCTGCGCGAGGTGGTCCGGCCCGTCTCGTTTGAGACATCCTCGCAACTCTGAGCTCTGAGAAGCCGTGCGCAAGGTGGTCCGGCCCGTTTCGCACAAGACATTCTCGCAACTCTGAGCTCCCAGATGCCGCGCAAGAGGTGGTCCAGCCTGGGGGCCCAGAAGACCACATGTTACATATCCCCCCTAGGACCCTGGGAGCCCCAGGAGGCCCCAGAGAGCTTCAGGAGGCCGCAGGACGCCCAGGACAGGCCCCAGGGGAGTCCCCAGAAGATTCCCAGGAAGCTCCCAAGAAGCCCCAGGGGGCCCCTATCAGAACGTGTCAAGTTAATACACATCCGGTGTCGATTCGTTGAGTTTTCCTGCTCTTGTGGCCATTTCTTTCATTTTGGGGGGCCCAAACGGCCACATGTTAGATATCCCCCCCTGGGAGCCTCAAGAGGCGTCAGGAAGCCCCATGTGGGGTCCAGGAGGCCACAGGAGGCCCAGGAGGCAGCCCCAGGTCCCAAGGAGGCCCCAGGAGGCCCCCACAACTCGGAGCACTGAGAAGCCGCGCTCGAGGTGGTCCGGCCCGTTTCGCCTGAGACTTCCTCGCAGCACGTTTCGCCTGAGACATCGTCGCAACTCTGGGGTCCGAGATGCCGCGCGCGAGGCGGTCCAGCCCCTTACGCTGGAGACACCCTCGTAACTCTGGGCTCCGAGATGCTATTCGGGATGAATAGAGGAGGTGGAGGAGGAGGAGGAGATGGAAGGGAGAAGGAGGAGGATTATGTGGATCAGGGATCACGGATCAGGCAGGAGGAGGGGGAGGAGGAGGAGGAGGAGGAGGAGGAGGAGGAGGAGGAGGAGGAGGAGGAGGGAGAAGGAAGGGAGTTGCAGGAGAGGACCTAACGGGAAGCGAGTGTGACGTGGACTTGTCAGAACGTGTGCGAGAGGTTGTCCGGCCCGTTTCGTTTGAGACATCCTTCCAATACTGAGCTCCAAGATGTCGCTCGCGAGGTGGTCCGGCCCGTTTCGCTTGAGCCATCCTTGCAATGCGAAGCTCGAAGATGTTGCGCGCGCGAGATGGTCTGGCCCATTCTGCCTGAGACGTTTCGTAGCACAGGGGCTCCAATCACAACCTCTCTCTTTCCTTCTCCCGCCTCCCTCTTCCCGCTTCCCGCCCGTCTCCTCTTCCCTCCTCCCTCCTCCCGCCTCCCGCTGCTGTGCCTCTGCCTCCGCCTCCCCGTCCCCGCCGTCGTCGTTTCTGCCGCCTCAGCATCCGTCATGCGCGCCCCGCCTTCCGTCCTCCCCAGACATCCGACGTCACGATTTTTCTTTTGAGACAGCTTACTCGTCGACCAGGTGCGAGAGAGTACGACACCCTCTAGCGTTAGCTTCCTGATAGGCATGCGTCACACAAGTTTTCGTGCAAACATCTCATGTGCAAACATCATGTTTCGACCTTGGAAAAGGCAGTGGGTTTAAAGCCCTGTTTGGGGATACTGCACTCCGGCTATAATCCCACCAGCCCTCTGGGCGTCGGTGGTTTAGAGCGTTTCCTCTTCCACCCCTCCTTCCCCTTCGGGGAGGGGCTTACCCCTCCCCCTACCCCCTCCCCATGGACCTGGACGCGGGGGTTTCGCGAGGTGTCGGAGCGTCCAAAACGGCCTCGGCGAGGAAGCCAAAATCATGGTTTTGCTAGGGTTTTGGCCCCATGTTGGCCTCTTGGGGGGGAGACGCTAATTGCCCCCTTCCCTTCCCCCCCCCCTCCTGTGATCGATCTCTCCCAAGATGGCCCAAAGATGGCCCCCAAGGCTCCCAAGGGTGCCCCAAGAGGGCCGCCCCAAGAGGTGGCCAGGAAGCCCCAAGAGGCCCCCAGGATGCCCCCAAGAGGCTCCCAAGAGACCCCCAAGAGGCCCCAAGAGACCCCCCAGAGGCACCCAAGATGCTCCAAGAGGCCTCGACGAGAATACCAAATCATTGATTTTACTAAGGTTTTAGCCACATGTCGGCCTCTTGGGGGGAGCACTGATTAAGATTACTCCAAGAGCGCCTGGGAGAGCTCACGATGACCTCCAAGATGGCTCAAGATATCCCAGGATGTCTCATAATGGCTCCCTCTGTGTGCTGCCCACTTCCCTGATCGAGGCAATTCCTCTGTGCATCGTTTCTGGATGGGCTGGTGGGGATTCGCGAAGCGTCAGCAATTTTTGATTCTTCGGAAATGGTCCGTCACACTTGAAAGCGCGCTGCGCTAGCACACGAACTGTCTTGCCCGAGCGCGAGCGATGCACGTGAAACGTGGCATTGGGCGCGTGGCCACAGATTTGCCAGATCTGCTGGCAACGGCACAAAACACTGGACGGCGGGCCTCAGCGCATGGCCGAGCAAGTCCGGCAGCCGCCGATGGATATCAAGCCAGTCGAGCAGGTGCAGCCATCCGCCCCACACTTCCCCGCCTTCTTCAGCTTGGCGGGGCCGTCACCGATCAGGTCCTGCGGGTCGATCGCGCCAGGGGCGGTGCACTCGCCCGCGCCTGCCGAGAAAGGGTCCAGCGGCGGAGACGTGGTGGTGGCGCCGTCCACCGAGTCGTCGAGCGGCGGAGACGTGGTGGTGGCGTCGTCAGTCGAGTCGCTTCCTGGGCACCCGTTGGGGCAGCACTTGCATGAAGAGGCGACGGTATCGCCTGGGCCAATGTCGCCGCAGCACACGGAGCCGCTGAAACATACACCCCCTATCGCGGCCGTGCAGGCCGAGGAGCCGCTCGGTGCGGAGCCGGGCCAAGGCGGCATAGTCATAGCCGGAAAGGCGCGCGCAGTGCGCAGCTGGGCAAAGGCGCCGCCGTCGTCGTCGGCCTCCACGTCGTGCACCTGAGGCTCGGCGCCCCCGTCCGAGCACTGGCTGTCCGCACGGCACCGCGAGGCGGCCAGCGCAAGGACCGCGAGCAGGGGAGGCGGCAGCCCCATAGCGAGACGCGGGCCTGCGGCGGGCGCGGCGGGCAGCTGCCCAGCGAGCAGGCGTCGAGGCAGCAAGCAGCTCGAGCTCAAATGGCTACGGTACACCGCACCGTGGAGGTTGGGGGGTCACCGTCGGCCTTTCAACTCTCTGCCGTGTTCAACTGGGGTCACTGGCTGCATCTGTGGCGGGTCCCGGCTGCCCTGGCACCGAACACCTTGCCATCTCTCGGGAGGCCGACTCTTCCTCCCGCCTGCGGGGGCGGCCTCGCCTTGCTTCCGCCGCCGTCCGCCGCCCTGCCGCCGCCCTCCGCCGAGGCACAGATGCCCACTCCTTCGAATCCCTCGAGGGCGAGGGCGCTTCTGGACCGGGCAGCGGCCGCGTGTTGTCTGCGCACGCCTCCGCCGCCCTTTCGCCGCCCTCCGCAGAGGGGGAGAGGCCCACGCCTTCGACTCTCGAAAGCGCCGGAGGAGGAGAAGGACCCCCCCTCCTCGTGGCCCGAGCGGGAAAGTCCTCGGCGGCCGAGGGCGCCTCGGCTTGCCCCCCACCTCTGGGCACGCCCCCGCCCCCGCCGAGGCCCGCCCCCGCCGAGGCGCCGTCGTTGTCATTGACATGTCGTCGTCGTCGTCGTCCTCGTCCTCGTCGTCGTCGTCCTCGTCGTCGTCGTCCTCGTCGTCGTCGTCGTCGTCGTCGTCGTCGTCGTCGTCGTCGTCGTCCTCGTCGTCCTCGTCGTCGTCGTCGTCGTCGGCGGCGTCCTCGTCGTCGTCGTCGTCGTCGTCGGCGTCGTCGTCGTCGTCGTCGTCGTCGGCGGCGTCGTCGTCGTCGTCGATTGTGCCATGACGTGTCAGTCGCTCCACAGCAGACGGCGATCGCCGCGATGCCCGCCCTTGCTGCCAAAAACTGCGCCGTCGACCTCGAGGATTCGGGGCCTTGGGGAGGAGGAGGAGGTCCTCGAGGATCGGTCCTCGATCCTCGACCCTCGGGGATCGAGGACCTGAGGATCGAGGACCTGGGGACCCTCAAGGATCGAGGACCTGGCCGTGATCTCAAACCTTTCTGGACACCTGCGGCCCTTGCTGGGGCCCCCAGAGGCTTCTGGAGGCCTCTGGTCGGGGTCGTCCGAGAGGGGGGGCGTCCAAGAGGGGGGGGGGACTTGGAGGCGTGTGCGCGGACGAAAAGGGTGGACTAGCGGGGACGTGCGGAAGGCAGAAGAGGGGGCTGTGGAATCTGCGAAGATCTCATGGCCCCCGCCATGACACCCGCCCCCTCAATCATCACCCCGTCTTGGACACTCCCGATCTGGGGACCTCCCAGGACTGGCATGTTTGGACGCCCGAAATGGGTACGGAAAGAATGGGTACAATGCCCAACAGCAAATGTGGTCCCGAACCAACAGCGGCCGCTGTTGGGCAGTCGGCCTTCTGTCTCGAGTGGACACAGGCCGCGGCGGCGTGGACAGCGAGTCCTGCTCAAAACGAACAGGATCCCCTGTTGGGCATTGTACCCATTCTTTCCGTGCCCATTTCGTTCGTGCAGGCTAGCGTGAGCTTCCTGATAGGCATGCGTCACACAAGTTGTCGTGCAAACATCTCATGTGCAAACATCATGTTTCAGGCTCTAACATGCCATGCCAGCCCGCACTGGACGGGCACGCAGTCGACCTTGGAAAAGGCAGTGGGTTTAAAAGCCCTGTTTGGGGATACTGCACTCCGGCTATAATCCCACCAGCCCTCTGGGCATCGGTGGTTTAGAGCGTTTCCTCTTCCACCCCTCCTTCTTCCCCTTCGGGGAGGGGTTTACCTCCCCCTACCCCCTCCCCATGGACCTGGACGGGGGGGTTCGCGAGGTGTCGGAGCGTCCAAAACGGCCTCGGCGAGGAAGCCAAAGTCATTGGTTTTACTATATATTTTTGGCCCCATTTTGGCCTCTTGGGGGGGGGACGCTAATTGGCCCCCCCACCCCTCCTGTGATCGATCTCACCCAAGATGGCCCAAAGATGGCCCCCAAGGCTCCCAAGGGTGCCCAAGAGGGCCCCAAGAGGTGGCCAGGAAGCCCCAAGAGGCCCCCAGGATGCCCTCAAGAGGCTCCCAAGAGACCCCCAAGAGGCCCCAAGAGACCCCCCAGAGGCACCCAAGATGCTCCAAGAGGCCTCGGCGAGAATGCCAAATCATTGATTTCACTCAGGATTTAGCCACATGTTGGCCTCTTGGGGGGAGCACTGATTAAGATTACTCCAAGAGCGCCTGGGAGAGCTCAAGATGACCTCCAAGATGGCTCAAGATATCCCAGGATGTCTCATAATGGCTCCCTCTGTGTGCTGCCCACTTCCCTGATCGAGGCAATTTCTCTGTGCATTGTTTCTGGATGGGCTGGTGGGGATTCGCGAAGCGTCAGCAATTTTTGATTCTTCGGAAATGGTCCGTCACACTTGAAAGCGCGCTGCGCTAGCACACGAACTGTCTTGCCCGAGCGCGAGCGATGCACGTGAAACGTGGCATTGGGCGCGTGGCCACAGATTTGCCAGATCTGCTGGCAACGGCACAAAACACTGGACGGCGGGCCTCAGCGCATGGCCGAGCAAGTCCGGCAGCCGCCGATGGATATCAAGCCAGTCGAGCAGGTGCAGCCATCCGCCCCACACTTCCCCGCCTTCTTCAGCTTGGCGGGGCCGTCACCGATCAGGTCCTGCGGGTCGATCGCGCCAGGGGCGGTGCACTCGCCCGCGCCTGCCGAGAAAGGGTCCAGCGGCGGAGACGTGGTGGTGGCGCCGTCCACCGAGTCGTCGAGCGGCGGAGACGTGGTGGTGGCGTCGTCAGTCGAGTCGCTTCCTGGGCACCCGTTGGGGCAGCACTTGCATGAAGAGGCGACGGTATCGCCTGGGCCAATGTCGCCGCAGCACACGGAGCCGCTGAAACATACACCCCCTATCGCGGCCGTGCAGGCCGAGGAGCCGCTCGGTGCGGAGCCGGGCCAAGGCGGCATAGTCATAGCCGGAAAGGCGCGCGCAGTGCGCAGCTGGGCAAAGGCGCCGCCGTCGTCGTCGGCCTCCACGTCGTGCACCTGAGGCTCAGCGCCCCCGTCCGAGCACTGGCTGTCCGCACGGCACCGCGAGGCGGCCAGCGCAAGGACCGCGAGCAGGGGAGGCGGCAGCCCCATAGCGAGACGCGGGCCTGCGGCGGGCGCGGCGGGCAGCTGCCCAGCGAGCAGGCGTCGAGGCAGCAAGCAGCTCGAGCTCAAATGGCTACGGTACACCGCACCGTGGAGGTTGGGGGGTCACCGTCGGCCTTTCAACTCTCTGCCGTGTTCAACTGGGGTCACTGGCTACATCTGTGGCGGGTCCCGGCTGCCCTGGCACCGAACACCTCGCCATCTCTCGGGAGGCCGACTCTTCCTCCCGCCTGCGGGGGCGGCCTCGTCTTGCTTCCGCCGCCGTCCGCCGCCCTGCCGCCACCCTCCGCCGAGGCACAGATGCCCACTCCTTCGAATCCCTCGAGGGCGAGGGCGCTTCTGGACCGGGCCGCGGCCGCGTGTTGTCTCCGCACGCCTCCGCCGCCCTTGCGCCGCCCCCCGCCGCGGGGGAGAGGCCCACGCCTTCGACTCTCGAAGGCACCGGAGGAGGAGAAGGACCCCCCCTCCTCGTGGCCCGAGCGGGAAAGCCCTCGGCGGCCGAGGGCGCCTCGGCTTGCCCCCCACCTCCGGGCGCGCCCCCGCCCCCGCCGAGGCCCGCCCCCGCCGAGGCGCCGTCGTTGTCATTGACATGTCGTCGTCGTCGTCGTCGTCGTCGTCGTCGTCGTCGTCGTCGTCGTCGTCCTCGTCGTCGTCGTCGTCGTCGTCCTCGTCGTCGTCGTCGTCCTCGTCGTCGTCCTCGTCCTCGTCGTCGTCGTCGTCGTCGTCGTCGTCGGCGTCGGCGTCGGCGTCGTCTTCGTCGTCGTCGTCGTCGTCGTCGTCGTCGTCGTCGTCGTCGTCGTCGTCGTCGTCGTCGTCGCGTCGTCGTCGATTGCGCCATAGCGTGTCAACCGCTCCACAGCAGACAGACAGCGATCGCCGCGATGCCCGCCCTTGCTGCCAAAAACTGCGCCGTCGACCTCGAGGATTCGGGGCCTTCGGGAGGAGGAGGAGGAGGTCCTCGAGGATCGGTCCTCGATCCTCGACCCTCGGGGATCGAGGACCTGAGGATCGAGGACCTGGGGACCCTCAAGGATCGAGGACCTGGCCGTGATCTCGAGCCTTTCTGGACACCTGCGGCCCTTGCTGGGGCCCCCAGAGGCTTCTGGAGGCCTCTGGTCGGGGTCGTCCGAAAAGGGGGCGTCCAAGAGGGGGGGGGACTTGGAGGCGTGCGCGCGGGCGAAAAGGGTGGACTAGCGGGGACGTGCGGAAGGCAGAAGAGGGGGCTGTGGAATCTGCGAAGATATCATGGCCCCCGCCATGGCACCCGCCCCCTCAATCATCACCCACTTTTGGACACTCCCGATCTGGGGACCTCCTAGGACTGGCATGTTTGGACGCCCGAAATGGGTACGGAAAGAATGGGTACAATGCCCAACAACAAATGTGGTCCCGAACCAAGAGCGGCCGCTGTTGGGCAGTCGGCCTTCTGTCTCGATTGGCACAGGCCGCTGGCGGCGTGGACAACGAGTCCCGTTCAAAATGAACAGGTTCCGCTGTTGGGCATTGTACCCATTCTTTTCGTGCCCATTTCGTTCGGGAGCGGCCAAGAGGGGGGTGTCCAAGAGGGAGGGGTGCAAATCATGACCGGCGGCATGTGCGCGGCCCAGCGGGGGGGGCCAGGGACGCAATGCAATAAGAAGAGGCGCCACGAGATCTGGGGAAATATCATGGCCCCCGCCATGATATCCACCTCCCCTAGTCATCCCCCCCCCTCTTTTCCGCCCCCGATAGGTTCCTAGGCATGCGTCACACAAGTTTTCGTGCAAACATCGCATGTGCAAACGCCATGTTTCAGGTTCTAACATGCCATGCCAGCCCGCACTGGACGGGCACGCAGTCGACCTTGGAAAAGGCAGTGGGTTTAAGCACCCTGTTTGGGGATACTGCACTCCGGCTATAATCCCACCAGCCCTCTGGGCGTCGGGAGTTTAGAGCGTTTCCTCTTCCACCCCTCCTTCTTCCCCTTCGGGGAGGGGTTTACCCCTCCCCCCACCCCCTCCCCATGGACCTGGACGGGGGGGTTCGCGAGGTGTCGGAGCGTCCAAAACGGCCTCGGCGAGGAAGCCAAAGTCATTGGTTTTACTATGGCTTTTTGGCCCCATTTTGGCCTCTTGGGGGGGGGGGGGACGCTGATTGGCCCCCCCACCCATCCTGTGATCGATCCCCCACCCACCCCTCCTTCTTCCACGCCTCCTTCCACCCCCTCCCCATGGACCATTTGGGCGGAGATCCAGCAGCTCGCTCTCATAGAGTCGAGCAGCTCACTGCACTCTGAGGCCTGTAACGCCTTAGGAACCTCCGATGGAGTCATCCATAGTGGCCTGGGCCAAGAGCCGGGGCCGCACCCGAGAACTGCCAGGCCTTGCCCGGTCCCCCGGCGCACCGCCCTGGCCGCACGCCTGCCTGCCAGGGCCTGCCCACCTCGGCGGGTGGAGGGCGGCCCCCGTGGCGACCCTCGGTGAGCACCCGGGGAGGAGGGCCAAGTCGGGCCTGTCCCCCTCTCTACAGGGGGATTTTCGACGAGAAATGGAAAGAATACCCCAAACATGCTCCAAAAGTAGTCCAAAAATAATCTGGGGACTAGTTCCCTACCTAGGCCCTGCCTAGAAGGGTTCTTACTCTCTTTGCTTACAGGGGCCGGGCAGTGGGCTCCGCCCCGGGCGGTTCCCCCAGGATCCGCCCCGCGGTTCCCCCAGCTACGTCCCCTTAGCTTAGCGTTGCTTATCTCATCTTAGCTTAGCCCAGTTTAACTTAGCTTAGCTTTAGCTTAGCTCAGCTTAGCCTAGCGCAGCATTAGCATTAGCATTAGCATTAGCAGTAGCAGTAGCAGTAGCATTAGCATAGCATAACATAGCCTAGCATAGCATAACACATCATAGCATAGCGCAGCATATCATAGCGCAGCATAGCATAACATAGCATAGCATATCATAGCATAGCGCAGCATAGCATAGCATAGCATAGCATAGCTTAGCTTATCATAGCACAGTGCAGCATAGCATAGCGTAGCGTAGCATAGCATAGCGTGGCCAAATCGTGCGGTGTAGACCAGATACGGAGCATTCTCAAGCACACCCGGTGAGCGAATGCGAGAACATGCGTGTGTGTGTCTGTGCGAAGGCAAAGCAACAACAACATCAAGCAACAGCAAAAAGAAAAGCAAAGCAACAGCAACAGCAACAGCAAAAGCAAAAGCAGAGGCAAGGCAATGCAAAGCAAAAGCAACACCAATGCGAAAGTGTAGATGTATATGTAGATGTAGGTGTAGGTGTAGATGTGGATGTAGGTGTAGATGTAGATGCAGATGTAGATGTAGATGTATATTAGATGTAGATGTAGATGTAGATGTAGATGTAGATGTAGATGTAGATATAGATGTAGGTGTAGATGTAGGTGTAGATGTAGATGTGAGTCTCGCTGTTGATGTCGATGTAGATGTAGATGCAGGTGTAGATGTTAGTGTAGCTGTCGGTGTAGATGTAGATGTTGCTGTCCTAGATGCTCCAACTCCTAGGTAGGGTCGCACTGGGATAAGTTTTGAATACTGTTTGACCTTTTGGGGGTATTTGTTGAGTATGTCCTATTTCTCGTTGAAAATCCCCCTGTAGGGGGACACGCCCGACTTACGAGGAGGGAGGAGGGGAGGCGGATGAGAGACAGGAGGAGGGGGAAAAGCCACCTGCGCCTGACCCACACCCCACATCCTACCCCTCCCCCGCCCAACCCTCCCGCCCCGTTGCGAAGAGTTCTCTCTTCCATCCGCTGGCTGGGTTGTCCTGGATGGCACTGATCCCCAAAACGAAAACGACCTCATCGCTCATCGCGTGATGCGCAATCACAAAAGAACAGCTGCATATTGGACGAGGAGGAGGAGGAGGTGTTGTGAGAGCAGGACGAGCAGGAAGAAGAGCAGCATGCTGCAGGGTGATTAGGAGGCGAGAGGCGCAGCAGCGGGAACCGGAGCAGGAGAGCCGGGAGGATCAGGGACAGGCGGAGGAGGCAAAAGGAGGTGGACGGCAACGTCGAGAAGCGGATCGGAACTACTCAGTGTGGCCCACGCTGGGGCGAGATCACAAAACTGAGCGAAAGGGGGGCAACGCGCCAATGCTGGAATGCCACCACCGCTGCAGCGGGAGCACTTCTTCTGTAGTGCCGGAAGCGGCCCGATTGAGCAAGCATGCGAGACAAAACAGCATTCGGAACCAAGCATGGGGAACAACCCTGTGTAAGCACCCGCACCATGTACAGGGGAGGGAGGAGAGCAGTACTCCCAACGTGTAGCTGCCGAGGCGACAAAAGGAAGGAGGCGGAGCCGTGGTGCAGACGGGGAGTGGATCGGGTCGGGCGAAAGGGGGGGATAGCAAAGGGGGGGGTTGAGAATCAGCTCACGTAGCTGATTTCCCCCCTGCGCCTCCTGGCGCCGCAGGCTGCTATGTATCGAGGACTGGGCCCCTCGGTGAGGCCAAAACCAGCTGCATGCAGCAAATTTCGTAACGCCCCCTTTCCCAATCCCCCCTTTCGTCCGGCCCGAGTGGAGGAAGAGAGGGCACGGAGAGAGCCCACCCCGTCCACGTGCCCTTCTCGCGGCACCACTCGACGATCTCCCGCTGCGCGGCGCCGGCCCACGGGTGGTACCTCCCCGTGCGCCACGGCCCCTCCTGCCGCGTAGAGGTCTCCTCCTGCTGCTCCTCGCCCTCGGCCCTGTCGCCCAGCGCTCCCTTCGCGACTCCGCGCACGACGCGGGGGGGGGCCCTGGGCACCGCGTATCCCCGTGGTCCGGCCGCGCGCTGCAGATGGCGAGCGCACGTCTGGACGCGCTCCCCTCCGCCCCCGCCCCCTGGCGTCCGCCGGCGTGATGCTTTCCACCAAGGTGTCCCGACCGCTTCCCCGGGCGTAGCTTCAGGTCGGGCACGTCCCCCGGCAGACGCATGTTGGAGGAAAAACGAAAGCTACCCAAAACATGCCCCAGAATGGCCAACAAACATACTCAAGACACCGTCCCCAGACTACTTTTTGACTATTTGAGGAATTTTCCTATTGACTATTTGACTATTTGAAGACTTTCCTATTGACGATTTGACTATTTGACTATTGACTATTTTTCCTTTTTGACTATTTGACTATTTGACTACTTTTTTGTCTACTTTTTGACTATTTGAAGAATTTTCCTCCTGTAGAGGGACAGGCCCGACTTCCAGCGCAGCTTGGCGGCCTGGGTCCGCTTTCGACGGCCCCGGGGTCCGAGGGCTGCCCGGGAGGGCCGAGGTCGATCGAACACATCGCCAGGTAGGAACAAACAAGTAAATACATACCAATTAATACACCTAAGTGAATACGCACAAATAAAGAGATTCCCCATACTTTCACATATCTTCCGAGTTTCTGCCTCCCCCCCCACTTCCGATATTTCCCCATCTTTTCTGGGGCATCGCCGATGCACTGCGTCTGTGTGTGTGTTTTTTTCCCTGAGGTTGGCGTCCTGGGTCCGCTCTCGACGGCCCCGGGGTCCGAGCGCTGCCCATTTGGGGCCGAGGCCGAAGGACACCGCGCCGGGGGAGGAACACAACACACACGTCGCGCCGGGGGGTCCTGGGCCTGCAAAAGGACGCTGGCCCGCGGCGCTCCTCCCCGTCGGGGCGCTCTTCCCCCCCCCACTTCCGATAGTTTCAAATATTTTCCCATACTCTCTGGGGCATCGCCGATGCATTGCGTCTGTTTTTTTTTTTTTCTCTCTCTCTCTCTCTCTCTCCTGAGGTTGGCGTCCTGGGTCCGCTCTCGACGGCCACGGGGTCCGAGCGCTGCCCATTTAGGGCCGAGGCCGAAGGACACCGCGCCGGGGAGGAGCAAAACACACACGTCGCGCCGGGGGGACCCTGGGCCTGCAAGAGGACGGCGGCCCGCGGCGCTCCTCCCCGTCGGGGCGGACGACAGAGGGGGCGACGGCAGGGAGCCGGCGGCGAGCGAGGGGACGGGGAGCCGAGAAGGAGGGGGCCCTCTCCGCAGGCGGCGGGGCTCCTCCTCCTCCCTCCTCCTCCTCCCTCCTCCTCCTCCTCCTCCCTCCTCCTCCTCCTCCTCCTCCTCCACCTCCTCCTCCTCCTCCTCCTCCTCCTCCTCCTCGCGCCGTCCGAGGCGTTGTTGTTCTTCGTGTCTTCGGGGGCGGCTCTTAGAGAACACTCCTCTCCGAAGGCCCGGCGACTCCCGAGCCTGCCGAGAGGGCCCGCCGTTCCTCACTTCCCCCCTTTGGGCTCGCAGCCGATACCACCCACGCCCCTGAGATTCGGGAGGAGGTGGAGGAGGAGGAGGAGGAGGAGGAGGAGGAGGAGGAGGAGGAGGATGCGAAACGCTGCAGCATCGTGAACATCACGACCGGAGCTCTTTATATGCGGCATCTCCGACGTCGGATCCGCCCTTCTCTACGGGCGATGTCCAAAGCATGCAGGGCGGGCACCTCTGCCCTGCTGTTCGACCTCCTCTGATGCCGATGCCCGCCCTATACTTTGCCGTCGCTGTGTTCGCCAAATTCTGACTGAGATATCCGCCTACTTTTCTGAGGCGGTACTGTCTGTCCTACTGTTTCGCATCGTTTGGGACGCATTTGCAACACAACATGCAACCCGAGAATCGAATCAGCCAACGCACGACGGACCCGAAGCCAGGACAATTTCTCGAGCCGGATCGATCCGTGATGGCCCCCAGGGCCCGAAAAGATGCAGGATCGCCCGCTGCGAAAAAACTGCGATGCCGGGACCGCAAGGCCACCCGTCCGACCCGATCGTCGTCCGCGCTTCCCTCCTCCTCCTCCTCCTCCTCCTCCTCCTCGAGCCTCCTCCTCCTCCTCCTCCTCCTCGAGCCTCCTCCTCCTCCTCCTCCTCGAGCCTCCTCCTCCTCCTCCTCCTCCTCCTCCTCCTCCTCCTCCTCCTCCTCCTCCTCCTCCTCTCTCAGTCCGGGACGCGCCAGCCCGGGTCCATGCAAGCGGGGTCGGTCGGGCTCTGCAGGATCCCGCAGGAAATCCTGCAGGACACCCCGCAAGAGACCCCGCGCGCCGACCCGGGTCCATGCGCCCTGGCTCCGCAGGATCCTGCAGGATCCGGCGCTCTGGCTGACGCCCGTTTGCATCGACTCCTCCTCCTCCCTCCCTCCTCCTCCTCCTCCTCCTCCTCCTCCTCCTCCTCCTCCTCCTCCTCCTCCTCCTCCTCCTCCTCCTGGCCCCCGCTCGGTGCTGTGAGGGCCGGCGCAGGCTGCGTGCCAGATGGGCCAGCGGGACTCCCGTCCCCCCGTCCTGTGAGCCCCGATGCGGGTCATCACTCGGCCCTCTGGCGGCCACTCGGGAAGCGGCGAGAGAGCTGCGATGCCGGGATCGCGCGGGGCCACCCGCGTTGGGCGTCGCTCAATGGGGGGGGCGCGCTCCTCGGGCCCTATAAAGTCTTTTATGCCAGGATCGCGCAGGGCCACCCGTTGGGCGTCGCTCCATGGGGGGGGGGGGGGGCGATGACGTGGGGGGGGCAATAGGAAGGTGCACACCTCGGGCCCTATAAAGTCTTTTGCGGCTCTGAGAGGCTCCTCTTCTGCAGCCCTCGCTGCCCCCCCCCCCATCTGTCGCCCCCCGTGGCGCGACGCCTAAGCCCGTCCGACCCGATCGTCGTCCGGGCGTCGGGTCATCGCTCGGCTCTCCCGCGGCCATCGCGCCCATCGCTCGGACGTCCATTCCCCGTGCATTTTTTCGACTCGTGCGACTATTTATTCTTCCATACATTGATCCAATATGCTCCTCGATCGCCCTCGTCGGGGAAAAAATCCCAGCGATGCCAAGCCATTCAACAGACGCTCCGGGCAACCCCAGGAGAACGCTCTCGGAGAGGCGCACCTGCTGGAGAGCACCCCGAGGCAAAGAGAGACCGCCGAAGACGTCCGGGAACGTCCTCGAACCTCGAGTCTCGAGTCTCGAGCCCGACCCGATCCCCTCTCGCCTTCCCTCCACCTCGACCCTCGATCCTCCTCTCCCCCCGATCCTCGATCCCCCCCCCTCCTCCACCCTCCTCTCCCCATCCTCTCCCCCGTCCCTACTCCCCTCCCTGCTCCCCATCCCTGCTCCCCTCCTCTCTCCCCTCGGGGGCGTCCACGAGGGGGGGACGCAAATCACGGCCGGCGGCATGTGCGCGGCCCAGGGTGGGAGGGGGGCTGGGGACGTATTGAAACAAGGGGAGGCGCCATGAAATCCGGGGAGATGTCATGGCCCCCGCCATGATGTCCCCCCCCAAGCCATCACCCCCCTCTTGGCCGCCCCCGATCCCCTCCCCCTCCCTGCTCCTTCTCCCCCTCCCTGCTCCTCCTCCCTGCTCCTCCTCCCCCTCCTCTCCCCCCTCCCTGCTCCCCCCCTCCTCCCCAGCCCTGCTCCCCTCCTCCCCTCCCCCCTCCCCTCCTCCCTCCCCCCCTGCTCCTCCTCCCTGCTCCTCCTCCCCCTCCTCTCCCCCCTCCCCTCCCTCCCTGCTCCCCTCCCTGCCCCCCTCCTCCTCCCTCCCCTCCCCCCTCCCCTCCCTGCTCCCCACTCCCCCCCCCCCAGGGGCACAGGATCTGGTTCACCGCCGGCAGCACGCCCGTCGCCCGCTCCAGCTCCTCGGGGCCCCCCTCCGCCCTCCTCGCGCCGCCCCCCGGGGCGGCGCCCTCCGCAGCGTCGAAGCCAGCTCTATTCCTCGTCGTCGTGATCGTCGTCGTCGTCGTCGTGGTCGTCGTCGTCGCGGTCGTGGTCGTGGTCGTGGTCGTCGTGGTCGTCGTGGTCGTGGTTGTGGTCGTCGTGGTCGTGGTCGTCGTGGTCGTCGTGGTCGTGGTCGTGGTCGTGGTCGTGGTCGTGGTCGTGGTCCTGGGTCGTAGCCGTGGTCGTCTTCGTCGTGGTCGTCGTCGTCGTCGTGGTCGTCATCGTGGTCGTGGTCGTCTTCGTCGTGGTCGTGGTCGTGGTCGTCGTCGTCGTTGTGATCGTGGTCGTCGTCGTCGTCGTGATCGCGGTCGTGGTCGTGGTCGTGGTCGTCGCGATCGTCGTCGTCGTGGACGTCGTGGTCGTGGTCGTCGTGGTCGTCGTGGTCGTGGTCGTGGTCGTCGTCGTGGTCGTGGTCGTGGTCGTCGTGGTCGTCGTCGTCGTCGACGTGGTCGTCGTCGTGGTCGTGGTTGTGGGTCGTAGCCGTGGTCTTGGTCGTCGTCATGCTCGTGGTCGTGGTCGTGGTCGTGGTCGTCATCGTGGTCGTGGTCGTCTTCGTCGTGGTCGTGGTCGTGGTCATGGGCGTGGTCGGGGTTATGGTCGTGGTCGTGGTTTGCGTGTTGGTCGTCGTGGTCGTTGTCGTCGTCATGGTCTTCGTCGTGGACGTCGTGGTCGTGGTCGTGGTCGTGGTCGTCGTGGTCGTGGTCGTGGTCTCAGTCGTCGTCGTGGTCGTGGTCGTCGTCGGGGTCGTCGTGGTCGTGGTCGTCGTGGTCGTGGTCGTGGTCGTGGTCGTGGTGGTCGTGGTCGTGATCGTTGTCGTGGTCGTCGCGGTCGTCGTCGTGATCGTCGTCGTGGTCGTCGTGGTCATAGTCGTCGGTGTGGTCGTGGTCGTGGTCGTCATGGTCGTGGTCGCTGTCGTCGTGGTCGTGGTCGTGGTCGTGGTCGTGGTCGTGGGTCGTGATCGTGATCGTGGTCGTGGTCGTGGTCGTCGTCGTCATCGTGGTCGTGGTCGTCGTGGTCGTGGTCGTCGTCGTGGTCGTCATCGTGGTCGTGGTCGCGGTCGTCGTGGTCGTGGTCGTCGTGGTCGTGGTCGTGGTCGTTGTCGTGGTCATGGTCGTGGTCGTCGTGGTCGTGGTCGGCGTGGTGATCGTCGTGGTCGTCGCCGTCGTCGTCATCGTCTCCGTCCTGGTCGTCGTGGTCATGGTCGTCGTTGTCGTGGTGGTCGTGGTCGTGGTCGTCGTGGTCGTGGTCGTGGTCGTGGTCGTAGTCGTCGTCGTGTCGTCGTCGCCGTCGTCGTCGTTGTCGTGGTCGTCGTCGTCGTCGTCGTCGTCGTCGTCATCGTAGTCGTCGTCATGGTCGTGGTCGTCGTTGTCGTCGTCGTCGGCGTGTTGGTCGTCGTCGTGGTCATCGCCGTCGTGGTCGTCGCGCGCTCCCGCGCGCGTGGGCGCCGAAGCGCGTGCGGGAATGCTTCCAGCTGGATGAAGCATTTCAGACGTCCGTGCGAAAAACGGATACCTCCAGTGTGGAAAAAACTGCGGACTGCAGTGTGCTATCATGGGGCCCTGGTCCAGGAAGGGGAAGCGCCCGCATCTCTGGGGCTGGCAGGAGGGGGCAGCTGCCTGCCAGGAAGCCTCGAGAGGCAGCGAGCCGATCGCCCCTCTCTGGTGCGTGCAGCAGAGACTCGAGACTTTTGCGCGCCGCGACGGCGCGCGGATCCGGGCCCGAACAGCGTCTGCTCCCGCCGGCGACGGTACTCTTAGGGGGCTCGCCTCGTGCTGCCGCTCGCCCGACCATGTGCTTGTTGGCGGCTTCCGGGGATTCCTCGGCATGTGCGTTGGTGCCCACGCGTGTCCTTGTCCGCCGAGGCTCGTCGATGTGACGCAGGCAGCCAGGCTGCGCGACAGCGGTGGGGCTGCACGCGACGAGCACATGTTGGGCTCACGCGCGCCCCGAAGATCCCCCCTCGCAGGCGAGCCACCCGCGCGCTTCTCCACCCCCCCCCCATCTTGCCGAGGCTCCTGGATCATGGCCACTGTGTACTGGGAGACGCCGATGTTCCTCACCTTGGGCGGATTGTCTCGACCAGACGCTGGTAGTTTCTGGATTTTCGGCGTCCCCTCCACTTCCCATGCTTCCCTATATTTTCAATATTTTCCGGTCCTTCACCCACCCACCGTGCGCGCGAGCTCCGACAGTCGCGGAAGCTCGCGCGCGCGCGCGCGCCCCCCCCGGGGGAGAGCGAGGAGGACAGGAGGAGAAGCAGGAGCAGGAGCAGGAGCAGGAGAACTTCTGGGCGCTTGAAGCCAAACAAATTGCAATGTGCGACAACCGTGCGTCCCTGAAGCAACACCCTCGTGACATTTACCAGCACTCGCGTTCCCGAGGCAGCGAGGCGTTGCAAATCACAATGCGCTCGCGTTCCCTAAGCGACAACCCCTTGCAAATTACAACGCGCTGACGCTCCCGAGACCACAATCCTTAGTAAATTACAGAACCCGAAAAAAGCTCTCCCTCCCAAAGCTGCAGCCCTTCGTAACTGACATAACGGTCGCGCTCCCGAAGCAACAGTCCCTCGTAAATTGGAAAAGCGCTTGCGTTTCCGAGGCAACGGCATTTTACAACCCACAACGCTATCGCACGCCCGAGGCCAGGTCCTTCGGAGGCACAAGCAGGCTCGCGCTCCCGAAACCACGGCCCCCTTCGAAATTGCGACGCGCTTGCGCGCCTGAGGAGGAGGAGGAGGAGGAGGAGGAGGAGGAGGAGGAGAGGAGGAGGAGGAGGGGGAGGGGGGAGGAGGAGGAGGGGTGAGGAGGAGAGAGGAGGAGGAGGAGGAGGAGGAGGAGGAGGAGGAGGAGGACGAGGAGGAGGACGAGGAGGAGGAGGAGGAGGAGGAAGACGAGGAGGAGGAGGAGGCCAGGGCCATACCTATGGCACATGGAAGCAGACTCGCGCACCCCGTGCCACGAACCCACCCCACGCAGGCTGCCCCAAACGCGCCAGCCCTCTCCAGAGCCGAACAGGTATGATTTGCCAGTGTGAGGACACGTGTCCCGGGGGGCGTTTCTCACCCTCCCCGCATCCCCTGGCTCCTGATCCGCCGTACTTTGGATGATTTTCCGACCTAAAATTGTGTCGGAAATCGACGCCAAAGGAGCCTCAAGGGCGGAAATCGACGCTCAAAGGGGCCTCAAAAGTAGGGCGGAAATTTCCGCACTACTTTCGAAATCGCCCAAAGTAGGGCGGATCAGGAGTCAGGGTCTTCCAAAAATTCAACCCCGGATCCGCGGCTGCCAATCCGCTAAGAAAGAGCCAGGGGTGCTCGCTCCCGAAGCCGAAAGCAGTCGTAAGTTGCACCGGAATCGCGCTCCCGAGGCCACCCTCTCTGGTTCAGTAGGACTCAAATTCTCACAATCCGCCGGCGCTGAAGGGGCCCTGGGACACACAAATAAATACACACAAATAAAACAGATTCCCCCTATTTCCCCATATGTTTCTGGGTTTTTGTCTTCCCCCCCCCTTCCAATATTGTCCCCATGATTTTCTGGGGAATGGACGATTAATTGTGTCTGTGTGTTTCTTTCCCTCCTGAGGCGCAAGAAGCAAACCAATTGCCAACCACCTATTTGGACAACAAGCCAGCCAGCCGGGTTGCCAGCCAGCCAGCCGACAAACCGATACCTCGGCGGCCCCGATACGCAGCAGCACGCAACACGTAGCGTACGGATACGGAGCTCAGCACGCAGGCAGAAAACACGGAAGCATGACACGATGCGTCCGGTTCGCCAGAGCGTGGGCCCATACGCTGAGCCAACACGCAGCGTACCGGCACGGACGTTGCAAGCACGGCACGTGCTGCGTTTCAAGAGTTCAGTCGGGCCTGTCCCCCTACAGGGGGATTTTCGACGAAAAAACAAAAAATACTCCCAAAATAATCAAAAGATAGTCCGAACAGAGTCTGGGGACTATTTTTTGAATATTTTTGGACCTTCTTGGAATATTGTTGGGGGTATCCTTATTTGTTCGTCGAAAATCCCCCTGTAGGGGGACACGCCCGACATAATTCAAGAGGAGCGCAGCGGGGCAGCCAAGGCCAGCGGAGCAACCGACCCACGGGCGCAGCCACGCAGGCACGGCAGGCGGGGGGGGGGGGGCCCGCGGCAGAGGGCGAGGAAACACCCCAGCCGCAGGATCGGGCAGCTCACGGCGGCGGGAGGCACGCGCGTCGCCCACCGGGCGAAGAACAGCGGGCAGCCCCTGAGGGATGGTATTACAAGGCAGTTTTTAATACATAGGGTTAAAAAAAACATAGGATGTTCAATCCATGGCTATGTTATGAATAAATGTATGCATGAACTCATCGTTGTTTTTAGTACTGAATCCCTGCACCTTTCATACATGATTCGCACGCGGAGCATGTACGTACAAAAAACGGCACTGTAGGTCGGGCCTGTCCCCCTACAGGGGGACTGTGGACGAACAATAAAAGATAACCCAACAATATCCAAAGGATGCCCAAAAATACGCAAAACATAGTCCCCCGGACTATTTGTTGCTACTACTTTTGAATAGTCCCCCTGTATAGAGAGACAGGCCCGACTTAAGGATGGTGGTGTGGGGGGGTAGAGAATGTGCCGTGGCGACGGCGACCACGAGCGAGTGGGAAGAGTTCGACGAGGGGGACGACGACGACGACGACGACGACGACGACGACGACGACGACGACGACGACGACGACGACGACGACGGCGGCGGCGGCGGCGGCGACGACGGCGGCGACGGCGGCGGCGGCGGCGACGACGACGACGACGACCATGGCAACGAGGCGCAAAGGAATAAAAGTTCGACCGACAGGGGGGTAGGTGTAACGCAACGCCGTGGCGACAACGATGAAAACGGATGACGACGAAAATCCTTGGGTGAAGAAGGGCTGGCGGCAGCGCCGTTCCCCCGAGGGGGGTGGGGCCTTTCAATCTGGAACCCCCATTATTAACGGGGGACTGCAAACAAAGGGGAACTGGAAAGCGTGGATTTGCTCTGGCGTCGCATGACAGTTTGCATGAACGCTGAATGCAGCGTGTGTGTCCTTCACCGTTGGCGATGGGTGTCCTGGGCGCAGTGCTTGGAGGATCATGAAACTGCGCAAAAGTAAAATTTCGAAGGTCCGCGCGGATTTCTTGCAGCTGCGCTGGACCCTGTCCCTCTCGCGCGAAGTCTGGGCGCGAATTCACGGGGGGGCGATAGTTGGGGGGAAGAGAGGTGCCCTTGTCGGGCCCTCAAGGCCATCTCTGGGGCCCTCGAGGGCCCCTTCTGAGGCCCTGGAGGGCTCCTCTTCGGCAGCCCTCACTGCCTCCCAAAAGTGTCGCCCCCCCCCACTGATCCGCGCCCAAGAATCGGGGTGAACGAAAGGGGGGGACAGCAAAGGGTAGGGTAGAGAATCAGCTCACGTGGCTGATTCCCCCAGCGCCTCCCGGCGCCGGGAGGTGCTCATATGTATCGAGGAATGGGCCCGGCGGCGGGGCCGAAACCAGCTGCATGCAGCAGATTTCGTACCCCCCCCGTTCCCGAATCCCCCCTTTCATTGAGCAGGGACCGACCGGTTCTTAGAACCCCAAAGTGTTCTAAGGACAAAAACAATGTTCTTAGAACATAAACCCGATGCGATAAAACAAGACGGACTCCGCCAGACATGTTCTGAGAACACTCCGTGGAAACCACAGAAGGTCCTTAGAACATTGTTTGGTAACGTAGGGCTCTAGGCGAGCCAGGCCGCTTCGCCACGGCTTGATTTCGTCCGGCCCGAAAGAAGCGCTCCAGGGGCAGCGCCGGCGGCGCCGCTGGTGGGGCAGCGCCCTCGGCGGGGAAGCCGCCGGGCGCCTCGGAGGCCTCCTGGCGGCCCACGTGAGGCCCTCTTGTGAACTCCTCGGGAGCGCCGTCGGGCGCCTCGGCGGCCTTTGAAGCCCTTTGAACCCGCCTCCTCCTCCTCCTCCTCCTCCTCCTCCTCCTCGTCCCTCTCCTCCTCCTCCTACTCCTCCTCCCTCCTCCTCCTTTTGAGCTCCTCCTCCTCCTCGTCCTCCTGCTCCTCCTCCTCCTCATCCTCTTGAGCTCCTCGGAGGCCTCTGGCGCCCCGACCGCCGGGGCGGAGGGTCGGCAAGACGAGCCCCGCGAGGGCGGCGCTCTCTGTGGAGGGGGCCGGGCTCCCGCTCTGCGGGGCGGCACTCTCCGGGGGCCGCGCACGCCTCGTGCTCCCCCATTTGGGGGGCATTCTAAAGTCGAATGCCCAGAAGCCCATGCCCCTTCCCTGTAATTCGGTTTTTCGCCACTTCGGCCTCCTGGGGGCCCTCGCCGGGCCTCGGGACCGTCGAAAACCGACTCAGGATGAGACATGGGTCCTGGGGAAGGGGTCGAGACCTCTGGGGGTCGACGTTGTGAAAAAATCACGACGTCGGGGGTCTGGGGAGGCAGATCCTGGAGACCACGTGCAGACGTGAGGCAGCAGAGCCTTGGACGCCACATGCACGAGACTAGGGGGCCCCGTGCGAACCCTACCCCTACCCCCACGATTTCTGAGGGGGAGGGTGGGGTTCACTCCGCTCGGAAGCTCCCGAATGAAGTGAACCCAACCCTCCCCCTCAGAAATCGTGGGGGGCAGGGGTAGGGTTCGCATGTGGCCCCCCAACTTTGGGGGCCGCGCACTCTTCGTGTTCCCCCTCTTTGGGCCTCCTGGGAGGCCCTCATCGCCACCGCTGGACTCGCCTCGAAAGTCTGCTCGGAACGGGCCTCGGGAGATGTCCGGGGAGCAGCTCGGCGGCGAGCGAGGGGGGGGGGGAACGAGAAGGAGAAGGCCTTCTCAGAAGGCGCGGAAGTCCCCAGGCCTCCCGAGGAGCAGGTTCCTGGAAGCCTTCCCCAAAACAGACACAGAGGACCTCTCAGAAGGCGCGAGGGCTTCTGAGGAGCCCCGCCGCTTTTTGAGAAGGCACTACACAGCGTGTGCATCCGTAAAGAGTGCTTGCGATAAGGAGTCTAGGGGCACATTGTTCGGTCGGGTGTGGACTTCGCGGGGAGCCCGCAAACGGCGCTGGCATCCCCGGGGTCGTCGGGGCATGGGAGATCTTGGCAGGGCAACTGCTGGCGGGCCGGTTCCTTGTCCAGCGCGACTGCTGCACTGTGCTCGCGGTGGCGATTGCGAACGTATAGTTCAGTGGTCGTGCTCCTGCCCCCTCCGATGAGGAGCGGCATCGCACCACGAGGCGAGCGTGATGCGGGCGTGGGCAACTGTGCTGCTGTTGCTTCTTTCGGCTGCACGTGAGAGTGCCCCTGGGCAAGAGTGACCTTTGGTGCGCAGCATCTTGGGGGGCGCGAGGAGGCCAGACACAAGCGCGCAAGACGCCAATATCGCCACGAGCGCGGCGATCGGGGGACCCCAGTGAGTGCGCACCAACGGTCACTCCGGCCAAGGGTCACTCTTACGTCCAGTCGCTTCTTTCTCGTCGCCTCCGCAATCAAGCACCCCAACGCTGTGCGCCTGACCGTATGGACACTCTCGTCTGCAGCTCCGTGTGCCCGGCTCCCGGCCCCGGCGCGCCTTAAGGGGGGGCAGGTGAGAGGGGCTGGGCCTTCTCGGGAGGCGGCGGGGCGGCTCGGAAGCCCCCCGCGCCCTCACTGCAAGGCCGCGCGCGGCCTCGGGGCTGGGCCTCCAGAGGCCTCCCAGACGTGCGCGAGGGCCGCCGAGGAGCCCCGCCGCCCTCCGGGGGAAGGCCCGCCCCCCCCCCCCCTGACTTCGGATCCGCCCTACTTTGGGAAAATTCGTAAGTAGGGCTTGAAATTTCCGCCTTACTTTTCAAGCCCCGCTGATGCCAGTTTCCGCCCTACTTTTCTGTTCCTGTTTCTGTGGATTTCCGCCCTATTTTATGTTGGGTGCAGCAATTTCCGCCCTACTTGTTCGGCCCCGTATAGGTGGATTTCCGACGCAACTTTAAGTTGGAAAAAAAGCCAAAGTAGGGCGGATCTGGAGTCAGGGCCCCCCTCGCCTGCCCCCCCCCCTCCGGGCGCGCCGCCGAGCTGCGGCCGAGGCGCCCGCCTTCCGCTGCCGCTGCGCCTCGAGGAGCCCGCGCCAGGCGGCCTCCCTCTCCGACGCGTCCTCCGGGCGCCGCTGCCGCAGAAGAGCGCTCGCTCTCGCCCGGGCTCGCCCTCTGCAGCTCCGCGTCGCGCTCCGCTCTGGCACCGTGCGCTCCACGCTGCGCTGTCCGACCGATCGCCGGCATCGTCCGGCATCCCCGCAGCTGCTCGGTGCCTCCAGGCGTGCTGCGCTGCAGTCGAACCGAATCGCAAGGACGCGCTGGCAGAATCCAAGGGGCCTTGGACTTCCGACCCAAAGGATGCAGAGGTGGCCCCGACTCACCCCCGTCGGTGCCGAATGGACGCACGGGCCGAAGAGGCCAGGACGCAAGGACACCCTTGGAAAGCTGCTTGACCTTACGATCCTGTTTGACTGTGCTATGTTTTGTTTTCTGAGGCGTGTCGCTGAGTTTCTTGCTAGGAGCAATGCCGATTGCATCACCAGGTGGTGATCGAGAGACTGGCCCCCGCAACCAACCTCGAAGGGACTGGGGCTAAACTATGTGTCCAAACATGCGCTCGCTCATGTTCAGAAGCAGGCTCGAAACACACGTAAGTGCTACTGGAGTGCAGTCTGGACATGCAGTAGCAGCGCCACTGCGGCAGAGGTCAACTAACTACATTTACAGCGACTGCGCAAACTACCCCTTCGTATAGTCGTGAGTCACCTCCCCACTGCGCGTTTGCTCGTACTCTTACCCGCAGCGAGAGGGCGAGATATATCCTGCGACGGATGGTGGAGCAACATGAGGTCCAAGTATTCGAGCCTGCGCATAAACAGATGACCCAAGAGAAATGGAGAGGCCACGCATGGGAGATGTGAAGATCGCATGCCAGGCAAGCTGTTCCATCATCAGAAGGTAGTATCCGGCCGGTCCCCTGAAACCCTGAGTGCAAAAACGTTGCCACCTCTTTGGGGGAGGGGCATCGTTTGCTTCTGCAGGGTGCCGCCGACGGAGCGGCCCTCGTTTGACTTCCGCGGGCTTCCGCCGGCCACCCTCCGAGGCAGGGACGTCAGCCTCTCGATCCCTCGAGGGCAGAAGCTTTACTTGAGCTTTCTCTCCGTGCTCATATGTTCAGCTCTCGGTCGTGCCGCTCGCATCACGAGCCAAGTGGAAAGTCGTATAGGGGTGAGGGCTGCAGCCTTTTACCGTTGGGGCCGCATCACCCATTGGGGCGGCAGCTGCACGCGACGTCTGGCCATCGTCAAGCACGTGTGGGACGACGGCCAGACTCAAATCAGAAGGGAAGCATCAGCGCAGACCACGAAGGTCTGGCTGGTGTGCCCGAGCGAGGCAGCAGAGAGCGAACCGTGGAGCCGGGGAGTTTCCAGGTCCGTGCGCCATGACAGCTGCGGTGTGAGATCTCCTCACGGCTGCCCGATCCTCGCAGGGGCATCGGCCAGGATGAAAAGCACAGGAAGAGATGGCGTGCAGGAGACGGAGAGAAACACCTGCACGATCCAGCTCTCGCCGCGCCCATCTCTCCCTTGCCAGATGACTCCCTTCGGGTCCCTCATCCCTCCCTGCAGGTCCCCCGTGCAGAAGGCGCCTGCGAACGCCCTTTCAGCTCCCATGTAGGCATGCAACCTTGCGCAAGCCAGCTGCAGTCACAAACAAGTAATTCATGTTTGTTTATTTTGTTTGTTTGTTTTGTTTCTCTTTCTCTCTCTCTCTCTCTCACTCTCTTAATTAGCATGGGGGAAGCAGGTCCCGAGGGAAACGGGTCCTGGACCCCAGGGCCTTCCCCCAGGACGAGATCTTCATCCTGAGTCGTTTTCTGACAGTCCCGTGGCCCGTGTAGGGCCCCGAAGGCCCGAAAACGGCGAACAGACTCAGGACCCGTTTCTTTCAGGACCCGTCTCCCCCATGGCGATCTCTCTCGTCGCCCCTTGCCCCTCGCTCCTCCCCCGTGGCGATCTCCTTCTCTCTCTCTCGCTCTCTCGCTCCCTCGCCCCTCCCTCTCTCGTCGCCGGCCGGCCCTGCTCTGGCCTTCCTGGCATTAGGTCGGGCATGTCCCGCTACAGGGGGATTTTGGGCGAAAAATAAAACATAGACCAAAAATGCCCCCACATGGGCAGACATAGTATCTTCGTTTTTTTTTGTAAACTAGTTTTTGATTATTTCTATTGTTCGACTGTTGTTTTACTATGTTTGACTCTGTTTGGGTTCTTTTTCGACAATTTTTTGACATCGTCCCCCGATTCTGATTTGACCATCTTTGAACACTCCCCCTGCAAGGGGACATGCCCGAGCCTTAATCCTGGCAGACAGAAGCCGCGAACCGAGGCCCACAGCGCCTCCGCGCTATGGCCCCCTTCCAACCCCGGCGCGGGCGAGGGCCGAAACAGCCGCCGGCCTCCCGAGAAAGGGCACTGACCCGCCGGACGCGCTGGGCGCTGCATCGCCCCGCCCCCACAGAGGCAGATCCTCCTCCTCCTCCTCCTCCTCCTCGATCCTCCTCCTCCTCCTCCTCCTCCTCCTCCTCCTCCTCCTCCTCCTCCTCCTCCTCCTCCCCCCTCCTCCTCCTCCTCCTCCTCCTCCCTCCTCCCCTCCTCCCTCCTCCTCCTCCCTCCTCCCTCCCTCCTCCTCCTCTCTCCTCCTCCTCCTCCTCCCCATGCCGATGGCTCCCGCAAGCCCTGGGGACGGTCGCTGTGCAGGACGCATGGGGCGCCGGTGAGGGCGCGCGCAGGGCGCACGCCCGACGAGCACTTGCACAATGCCCCCGCGAGGCGACACCGGCACAAGAGGTACTTACCACACCTCAACGACGATAGACTCCGGCGGCAAGGCCGGAGGACCTGCGCACCTTGAGGTCTCCGCCTCAGTGGCTTCACTCCGGGTCACTACCTCGTTGGCTACACTTAGAGGTCGTTCACCTCGAGATCTTCACCTTATTACATGCCCGTCGAGGTCTTCACCTCGAGGTTTTTTCTTCGAGGCTTCCACCTCGGGATCTTCACCTACCTCGAGGTGTTTTCCTTGTGGCTATTGTGTTTCAATTGGGACAATATGGTGAAGCGCGGTCCCATTTCTCCCCAAAGGCATCTGAAGCCCTCCCCGCGTGCCTGGGCGGCAGTGGCGTGAGATCTTATGGCCCCACCTGCCGGCCAAGCACGTCCCTCCCCAGGGAGGTCGTCTTACGACCAGTGGCCATTAGCAGAGCGGTATCCGGGCCGGGCATGCAGGCGCCGCATCCAGCCAGCTCCAGCTGGCACCCCACCTGTTTTTCTTTGGGGGGCTCGTTTCGGCGGCCGCTTGGCGGCCCCAGTGCCGTTGCGAGCACGGCAGCCCTCGACATGGTCGGATTTCGCCATTTTGACAGGCTCGGCAAGGCCCTCCTGAGGGAGGTCAACACCAGCTGACTGTCGGCGCCGCCATTCTGGGCCCAAGGAAAAATTTGAGGTTTAAACATCCAGGACACAGCCCGGCGGCAATGCTGGCGGCCCCACACACCTTCCTTACGAAGCACGCGCCGCCAGGACACGGCGCGGCGACAATGCCGGCGCTGTTCATGTCAATCGACACGTCGGTAGCTTTGCTGTCTCGGACACAGCCTGGTGGCAATGCCTGCGGCCCTGCGCATGTCCATTTCCTTGCGCGGGGCATGTGCCTCCAGGACACGGCCCAATGACAATGCTGGCGGAGCCGTCTTCACGTCGAACACGAGCACTGTCGAGCTTGTGCAGTGACAAACCTCCCTGACGATGGGCCCGACCCGCCCGACATTTGCCAATTTGGCTCGATCTGGAACCCCGGATGCTGGCTGCACCCTTCAGGCGCGCGCGTTATGCGTAGCCGTTGGATCAAGGTCCACGGCGTTCGCGGCGCCGCGCGCCCGCGAGAGCCACGCCCGATGCTTCTCACGGCGAGGCGGAACTTCGCGGCACGATGGCCCGCCCGAGCCAGCAGCGTCGGGCCGAGCCCCCTGCTGCAGCGCGGGCGCGCTTTGCCGACGTCGACTCGCAGTCTGCTGCGCGGCGCGAAGGCATGGTTGCATCAGGCTCACGCCGCAGGCTGGAAAGGGGGGCCCCTAGACGCCAAGCCGTTATGGCGATGCCACCCTCTCGTGCTGCGCGGGTCTCACGGCCCGCGCCCGCGCGCGCCGCGTCAGCCTCAGCCCCCAAAGCTTCTCCTTTCTCCTCCTGCCGCCCCTCGACCTCGGAGGATTCGGAAGCTGCTCACACGCTTCGTGCGCCCAACGCGCTGGAACACGGAGAGAGCAGTGGAATGCTGGCGGGTTTGGCTGGCGGCTCTGTGGCGCATTACACCCTGCGGGCCAAGGCACCAGAGAAGTGCCCAATGAAGATAACCGCGCCGAGGAGCGAGGAGGACGAGGCTGAGCTCCTCAACCTCATCCATACTCCTTCCCCCCGCTCAGTGCCGCTACGTGGCTCAACGCTGATACTTGGACAGGTGGCTCACATTCTGGGCCACCATTGGCAGGATGCACTCGGGGGAGCCCTCGGCGAAACTTTCATTCGGTCCGACGTTCTGGTGTGTGCCCGGCCCCCGCCCGGGGGGCTCTTGCGCACGCGTTCGACCGTCGAGTGGCATCTTCACTTCGAGTCAACTACCTCGATGGATACCCAGAGGTCCCGCAACATGGGGCTCGCGCTGGTGGTCGGAACATGGGCGCACCCACCTCACGATCCCGCTTAGAGGGCAGTTTCGAGTCGAGGTGTCCGCCTCGAGGTCTTCATTCGAAGGTTCCCCCTCTAGGTGCTTCGCTGCGAAGCCGCCAATTGCAGAGGACGGTTTAGTTCCCGGCAAAAACTTGCCGACAAAACCAGCGGCCCTGCACGCTATTACTTTCAAGGGTTGGTCGCGAGGCAGCTGCCTCAAGGACAGACCTAGGCGGCAAAGCCAGCGGCCCTGCAATCGCTACCTTCTGGCATTAGGCTGGCGGGAAGCCTGGGATGCGCGCGCCCACTGGTTGGCCATTCGCACCATCATCGCGAGGCAGTTTGCCTCATGGACAAAGCTTGGCGGCAAAGCCAGCGGTCCTGCAAGCTCTTATACTCTTGAGCTGATCGCTACCTTCTGGCTGTAGGCTGGCGGGGGGACTGGGAGGCGCGCATCCACAGGTTGCCCATTCATGCCATCGTCGCGAGGCAGTTGCCTCAAGGACAAATCTTGGCTGCAAAGCCAGCGGTCCTGCAAGCTCTCACGCTCTGGGGCTGATCAATATCTTCTGGCTGTCGCATTGCGGGGGAACTGGGATGCGCGCATCCACGGGTTGCCCATTTTAGCCATCGTCGCGAGGCAGTTGCCTCAATGACAAAGCTTGGCGGCAAAGCCAGCGGTCCTGCAAGATCTCGCCCTCTTGGGTTGATGGCTACCTCGTGGGTGCAGACTGGCGGGGAAACTGGGATGCGCGCATCCACTGGTTGCCTCTTCATGCCATCGTCGCGAGGCAGTTGCCTCAAGAACAAACCTAGGCGGCAAGGCCTGCGGTTCTGGCTCTCGTCTTCCCGCAGATCACTGCTTGTCGGCCGCGCCCGGGCGGAAAGGCCTGGGCGCAAGCAACCGCAGGTGTTCAATGACGGGGTTTCGCGCATCCTGAGATCCTGCGCGATTGCCCTCGTCGCAGGGCAGTTGCCTCGAGGGCGCGCCCGGCGGCGGGGCCAGTCGCCCTGCACTTTTTCGCGCATCCCCTCATTTCCCCCTCCCCCCCCTCCCTCTCCCGCCGCTACCTGGCGGCAAGGCCGGTCGGCGTGAATCTTTAGAGTCAAGTCGGCGCTGTACCTCGGTCGCGAGGCAGTTGC